TAAAATGCAAGTAAGTTGAAGGCCATCAATTTTATCCAAACCCCAAACCTCATGACCAGAGTCTTTTGGATTAACATTTATTAAAACCCTTAAAAGGTTAATCCAAACAAGCTCTTGGGAGCATTCCATATAAGGGCGTGGAAACCTCTCCCTAGTAGACGCGTTGTAAAACCTTGAGGAAAAGCTCAAAGAGGATGAGGTTTTTAAAACACAGAGAGAGGTTTCCACATAAGGAATGCTTCGTTCCTCGTGGGATCTCACGTGATATTATAGCACATTTATATAAACATTCACAGTTATGCTACAGTTTTGCATATCCAACTAACAAGAAAAGGACCAACCAAAGAGAATAAAGAAAAGGATGTTTCCAGAACAAGAAATCGTTCGTTCCTATCTTGAATGTGTTATCCAACAATTTTTATTCTAAAAGAACTGCACATTGATTGGTTAAAACAGATGCAAAGATCTAGTGATAGTTTTTAATTGACTTGATCATAAAATTCACAACCCAAGTGCTTGATGAAGAGGGAAAAACACCAAACAATGAAGGAAATCTTTTACCCTAATTGAACAATAAAAGCTTCATGATAATTGTAATTAAAATTTAAAGAAGAAGAAGTGAATTAATTACCCTTGAGCGACCAATTGGAGAGATGAATCGGAGCAGTGTCTGATCCGAATAAGGGAAAGAGATCCAAGGCTCCATTGGACGGCAGATCGGAGCATGGAATCAATTTTGGCCTCGAATTGGGGCGACCACCAGGCTGGGGACTCGGTGGGGGTGGAGTCGAACCTGGGTTCGAGGTCGAAGTGGGAAAAGAGAGAGGAGTCGGTGGCGGCGCGGAGCCAGAGCTTGCAGACAAGCATGGGTCCACGCCACCGCTGCTCGATGGTTAGCCGAGAGAAGATGTTGGTTAGGCACTCCTGCGTCAGCTCCGCCCACGACGGCTCTGCCATTTCTTGGGTGACCTTAGGAATTTAGGAATACAGAAAGCTATGAGGATAATAAAAGAGTTCTATTTTTCTTTCACATTGACGAGATGCGCCCCAAAAGACCTCTACGAGTACTTATAAATTCATGATCATCCTCTTAATTAGTACGGTGAGACTCTCTCTCAACAATCCTTTCGTCTATGGAGCTCTCGACCAACCTCTCCTTAATCGTGGTTCGACTCCTTTCTCTAGAGCTCTCGAACAAAGCACACCTTATCTTCACCACTTGAGGATTCTATTGACATGGTAAGTTAAAGGGCATGATTCTAATACCATGTTAGAAACCACGACATTTTGCAATGGTATGGTATTGTATACTTTGAGCATAAGCTCTCGTGACTTTACTTTTGGTTTCCTCAAAAAGCGTTGTACCGATTGAGATGTATTATTTATTTATTAACTCATGATCATCTTCTTAGTTAGCCAATATGAGACTCTCTCCCAACAATCGTCAACATTGTTGTGGTATTTTAGCCAAATGATATCGGTAGAAGTGTTCATTTCTTTCCTTTTTCCTTTTAAGTAGAATGTTGAAATCTCGACTCTGAATTTGTAACAAATGAATTAGGTTGGTAATAGAGTCAACTCCTTTGATTCTAATCTCATTTCTTATTTTATGTTCCATCTCACTTGCTTTGTCGAAAATAAAAATATTAATGCGTTTATAATTGTTTTTTTTTTCTCTTATCTTTATTTAAAAAAAAAAAAACTTTATGAGAGGGACAGATCAAGTTTTGTTTGGAGCTCGGAGATTCAAAACTTTCATTAAAAAAAAAAACATACGCTTAGTCAATCTATTTTTAAGTTGAGTATTAATTTGAATTCTAAATTTTCAATTTCTATTTATCTCATTCATTTCTTTACCGTAAAATCTAACTATTTTTTTTCATTAATGTCAGATGTTTAAGTTTTGAATAGTTCTTGATTCGGACCAAAAAAATTTACAAATAGAATCAAATCTAAAAATTTAACCCAAAGTAAAAAAAAAAAATATATATATATATATTTTACGAATAAGAGAGGTAAAAATATGAAAAAAAAAATTAGAATGAAAAACGTCCATTATTCCACCTTCTTTCATATATATACATACAGAGTCGGCTTCATTTAAACATTTTTTTTTAATCAATCAGTTTTATAATTTTTCTTTTAAAAAAATGATTAAATTAAATAGTGAACGACAAATTTTTTTTTTTTTCCTTAACTTCGAGAAGTATACAAAAATAATATCTTTAAATCTTTAATTTTGTGTTATTAGATCTCTAAAAAAAATTCTTAAAATTAATTGATTAAGACATTTTATTATCTCATCATAATTTGTTGAGCCTAATTTATTTTTATTTTTCTTACTTTCTTGTGTCTAAACTAAAATTATATTTTTTTTTAAAAGAATTATTTCATAATCATTTTTTTTATAAGTATCCAAATTATACAAATTGTAATATATAATTTAAATTATACAAAATTTTATATAATTTTAAAATAAATCAACATAATTTTGCTAAGTATCCTTCTTTTGTAATTTCTTATTTTATTTTATTTTTTAAAGCAATTTCAAAATTATGAAGGTTTTAAGGACGCCTCAACTATTTATTTCTACGCAAAGGCACCTCAAAACGCCATTGCCGACATTTCATCAGTCCCGATTTGTTTCAACATTCATCGCCATCCAAATTATTCCAAACATCTTAGGTCTAAGTTCATGACCACACATCCATACAGTGTCTCAACAAAATCTAAATCCAACCGAATCAAGAAACAGAAAGTTGAACAAATCTATGTAGATGAAATCCAATCCAAAAGTTTAACAACCTTATTCGAAAAAGGCTAAACACAGAGTTGAAGAGATTCAAACCGGTTTCTATACCGCCGACGCCTGAGAATAGAGCGGACGCCTGTACTCGTCGAAGAACTGGTCGCGATCGACGTAGACGATGGCGTAGAGTGCGTAGATGATCCCCGGAATGTAACCGAGAAGAGTCAAAATCAAACACAGACAAAATTCCACCTGCAATTATACCATTTCCACACAAAATTAGACCGAAAACCAAAACCTAATCCAGATCGACGTCATCTGATTTAGATCAGAGAGCAGTTAAGTCGGCTGTTTTAGGTCACCAGGAGTTCAGATTGGGGGAAATTACAGAGAGATTGAAGAAGAAGTAAGATTACCGTGCAACAGCCGTGCTTTAGGCAAACTCCTAGAGGAGGAATGAGGATGGCGATGAGAATCTCGCAGCAGATCTCACATCCGTTCGCCATTTTCGAGCTTCGAGAGAGATCAGAGAGAGTTGTGGAAGAGAGTGGTTGATTTAATCAATGCGGAGGTACTGCATTTTGTTATTGCTTTTATAACCGATTGACCATCCAATACTCTTCTTCCACTTGTTTTATCATTTCATATTTTTATAATTTTATAATATCCACGTTAAAAATAATCATTTTTCTTTATTTATATTTACAAATTTTTTTATAATTTTATTTATATCCACGTCAATAATTCATGCTTCAAAGTGATCCATTTTTTATTTTTTATTTTTAAATTTAAAGATATTAATTTAAAGATTATTTTTATTCTTTTAGAAAAATGGAATAGTATTAATTAAACTTTTAAAATTAAAAAAAAAATGTTTTTGATTATTTTTTATGTGATTAACTCTTTAATTTATAACTGAATTTCCGCCCTTAACCCATTAACCAAAAAGAAAATATAAAAAGATGTCATTCCATTCCGACAAAAGACCCATCCAAGTTCTATAGCTTTGGGTTCGCTATCCCGATTATGATTTTTCTACCCCTAGAGGGAAAAGTCTTCCCCTTTTTGACTGGTTGTGGGTGAGGAGAGATTCAAACCCTCGACACCGTGGTTCGTAGCCACATTCTTTAATCCTCTGAGCTACAGGGCCCACCCCGTTTCCACTGGATCTGTTCTCGGGGTACCCTAAAAAAATGAACCTTTCCTCTCTCCAACCATTTGCCATTTCGAGTTAAGAAGATGTGAAATCGTATCTCTCTCTATAAGAACGGTGCGCTCCAAGGTGTGAAGTGAGAGATAAAAGTGGGAGAGATACATATATGGGTGAGTTACTAGTGACCTGCGTTTGAACCACAACCAACTAAGTACATATTTGAGTCAATTATAATAAGCTTTTTGTTACTAGAGGTTAGCTGGTGACCCTCTAGTGGCCTTGTGATGCTCGAATAAAGAAAGAGTACATGAATGAACCGAAATCATTTTCAAATGAGAGTCGACTGAGAAAAAGAATTGATAGTTACTACACGTATTAACAAAGTGTATCTTCTTTTTTGGTGGCTCGATCATAGGAACTCAAGAATTAAGTATGTTTTGGTTGAAACAATTCTATGTCGGATGACCTCCTTGGAAAAGAAACATAACCTTACTATGGATGTTTGGCGGGTGTCGTTGACTCATTTGAGCAGCAAAGAGGTGCGAGCACAATTCTCAATTGAAGGCAGAGCGACTAAATCGAAGCTCAAACGAGGCTAAATTTAGTGGCAAAGAACAAGAGCTTTTAAGCATCGTGAATCGAGCAAAATCAGTACCAAATATTTGTTTTCGAGCAAATGAAAGTCAAATAGACGAATCGAAAAATTAGACAACGGTGAACCAAAGCAACAATGAACGTGGGGTAAATGGAGTTGGAGGGAGTGTAACAAAGGCCCGAGTGAGGAAAAAAGTTGAGAGTTCTAAGACAGTCAACGATGGCTATAACTCAGCTGGTACGGTTGGACACCCGATTTAAACTTTTTTTTTTTTTGTGATGAAATAAAGGTCGGGTTGAGTTATTAACATTAAATAATGGTAGAAAATTTAATTTGATTAAAAAATAGTTATTTATTTATTATTTATTTTTTAATTATGGTAGTTAAGGATAAAAATGGTTTTATTCTAAAAATAATTTCCTTGTTTAAAATAAAACGGAAAAAAATTGGAAAAAAAAAACCCTTTTTTTGAGCAAATAAAATGAAATAAAATAATATTTGATTTAGAGATGCGGGGAGAAAAGGAAATTGGTTGTCTTGGAGGGCGAGATTCACTTCCATGACTATGGATGCCGATTGTTGATCCAGGTTTTCTCCCTTCTTTCTTCTCATCTTCTTCAACTTTCCTTCTTCTTTGCCTCCCCCTCCGCCGCTCGCCGGAATCCCTAACCCTAACCCTAACCCTAACCCTAACCCTCGCTTTCCTCTTTCGTTTTTCTGCGTTCTGACCATGGAGTTCAAGTTCCGTGCCGGCGATCCCCGATCTCCGCCACCGCCGCTGCAGTGTGCTTCTTCTATGCCGCCGCTTCAGTGTGCTCCTCCTATGCCTCCGCTGCAGTGTGTTCCTCCTATGCCTCCGCTGCAGTGTGCTCCTCCTATGCCTCCGCTGCAGTGTGCTCCTCCTATGCCGCCGCCTGGTTTCTGTTTACCTAAGCAAGGATTTCCAGGTTTATGTTGTTTGTAAGCTGTTTTCTAGTTCGCATTGCGTTGTTTCTATGTTTACTCTGTTTGGATTCCGTGAAAATCAAGCGGACTGGAGAGGTTGAAATTTCTTCCATTTTTTGATGATTTGGATAGTGAATGGTTTTCCTTGGAATTGTGGAACTTTTTCTGAATGCGCTGGGATTCTGGCCTGTTTTAGGATGAGAAATTTAATTGCAATTTCTTAAATTTTGGATGGGAGTTTTAAGTTTAGGGAAAGAAGTTTAACTTTTATTCTTTGTGTATATTACTGCGAAGAAATTTTACCGATCAATTTTGATATATGCTTTTCCTTTTCTAGCTTGGTTAGGGTTCTTTACTATTTTAGGTTACGGAAGCGATTCCAACTTTGTAAAACCCCAAACATATCATCCCAAGCGGTTTTAGGTGCGGCTGCACTTATACAAGGCATTTGAGAGAGGAATCTTGGATTTATATTACTTTTCTCTGGTTTTACTTGATTTTCGATTTCGATTTGATGGATTTGAATTCAACAGACGCCTATCTCGGACGAACCACGAACATGGCAACACTGAGAACGCCGTTCGATACCAACGAGGTAATGCACTGCGAGATGGAGTTGATGCGATTGAGACAAGAGAAATTGGTGCTGGAGATTGAACGGCAGCGATTTCTGGAAGAGGATGCGAGGAGAGAACTGATGTTGTTCGAACGAGAGAGAGCGATTCGTGAAGTTGCGCAGTCAGTGGGATATCCTTTCCGACAGCCCCAACCATGGGGAGTGCCATTCGCTGCGGCGGGGCCTTCTCTGTCTCCGTCACCGGCGGTAATGGTGCAATCATTCCAAGAATGGCAGAGAATGGATAAAGCAAAAAGTTCCGAATGCCTAGGGTTTGGTCCAGCGGCATTGCCACCACGGGTTCAGCCGTTTATGGCGGAACACTATAGGGAGCGTCAAGTACTACAGCCTGATGAAAACAAACTCATTGTACTGGTTTGGCTCTATCTCTATCTTTTTACTTTCATGATGAATAGATGCCATGTTTTAGGGCTTTTACAACCACCTTTGGCTCTGTCTTTTTTCTTAAAAAATTGCTTTTTTTTCCTTAAATAAGTTTTTGCATACTTCAACTTAGGCACTTCCACTCCCAATTTTATGCATATCCGTTCTTAAACTTTTAGAAAGTGTCGGGTTTGACTGAGTCTAGAAACAAAATTGTAAGGTTAGTGTTCCATCAGACATAAAATTCAATTTTATATCTAATGGATCAATGAACCTTTAAAAGTTCTAAATATGTCAAACATCTATGGAATTGAAAGTTTAGGGACCTATTAGACATTTTTAAAGTTCATAGACCTTTTAGACACAATTTTGACGGTTTAACGATCAAATAGACCCAAACCTCCAAGTGAGATAGTAGCTAACCTCGAAAAATGTAGTATATGTCTACTGCTAAACTATGTTCATTTTGATTTATTATTATTTTTTTTAAATGAACTACAATATCTAGTTTGATCTCTTTTTCATGAACAGTTCAAAAGGTCAATGTTTCTAAGATTTGAAATTGGAGTTAAAAGATATTTTTTAGATTTAATTATGGTTTCGATCCCTTTGTTTTTATTATTTCATTTACCCTATAGCTTTTATTGTCTTTTTTTTCTTGTTGTGTTCCCAAAAGACCAATTTTTTTAGAGAAAATTATGTGGTTCTTCTTTTGATAATCACGAATTTGTGACCAAGGATTTCAATCCACACAAGCACTTGAATTTACCAGTCACTGAATCAAAATTTTCAAAACTAATACTGATTGCCAAATAAATCTCCAAACTGCTCTTAAATTTGATAGTTTGATTTGAACTTTTGTCTACTTTTACTCTTTTAAATAGTATTTTAATAGTTGAACTAAAAATTTAGTCCCTTTAACTTAAAGATTTTAAGATTTGTGTATATTTAGTTTCTAAACTTTCAAAGTGTTTAATAGGGCTTTGTACTTTCAATTTGTTGTTTATTAGGTCTCCAGCTTTCAATTTTGTGTCTAATAAGTTCTTGAGCTTATAAAATGTCTATAGGTCCCTAAACTTTCAATTTGTATCAAATATATTTTTGATATATTCAAATCTTCTTATAATTAATTTATGTATTAGATATGAACTTAAACTTTATGTAAAATAGACTCTACATTTTCAATTTTCTGAATCTAGCAGATTCATGAATAGGTCAAAGACCTACCCGACATAAAATTGAAAATTCAAGGATCTATTGAGCACAAAACTGCTAAGTTTAAGTATCTATAAGTCATTTATTAAACTTTAGTGACTTAAAAGTTCAAGAACTTATTCTGATTAAATATATATGTATCTCAAATTTTAGTTATCATAGTGATTAAACAATTTAGTAAAAACTAGCAGACAATTTAGATTCTAAAGGTTGCCAATTTTGGGTAAAACAGGCTGTAATATTGGAAGATAAGTAATCAAACTTGTAGAAATATTTATGTGAACTTTTATTTAAATTTACTGGGACAAAAAGGTAGTTTTCCATTCGCTTGTGTACTAATTATATAGGTATGATTGATGATCAGTTTTGTATTATCAAACATGGTTGGAATTCTAGGCAATCACAATTCAAATAATAGCATTATTTACGAATTAGAAAGATACTACACATCTTTTTGTAGGTGAACTAACTTCCTTCAAGTCAAATGGTTTGCAATCTGATTTTGATGTCTTAATTTCGGTGAAATTTTGCGGTTCATACAAAACAAATGCCCTTTGTAAGAAGTGTTCATGTGTGTGATGTGCTGAATCTGTCTTTCTGGTTCTTCATTTCATGATATTGTAAAGTCTTGTTAGAACTATATTCATTTGCTTTCACCTTATAAATACAACTTAAGAAGGATTAGGGGCATGCTTGGAATGACTTTTTAAGTACTTAAAACGTGTTTCTAGATCTGAAAATGTATTTTTAAGCACAAAGTGTTTAAAAATATATTCTTTCAAGTGCAAGGAAAAGAAGTTTTTAAGTATGTAGAAAATCAATTCAAACATGGTCTAAAATTAGAAGAGTTCATTCCTATGGATTTGAGAATGTTGCTGCAGGAAAAACCCGACCCAAATGTATTTAGAGAAAAGAGAAAGGCCGAGATGGCATCAACGTCTTCCGACAACGTCCAATCATCTTATATGAAGAAGACTCCAAAGGGCGAGTTGAGTTGTGCACTGTGTCAAGTTACCGTGACAAACGAAAAGGTCTTTAATGAACACCTTCATGGCAAGAAGCACAAGCGCAGAGAAGCTGGTCTGAGGGCTCAAAATGCAAGCAAACTTTTCCAGGCTGCACCACCCGAGCCATTATCTAACAAAAGGATGAAGCTGGAGAAAACGTTTGGCTCTGCAGGTGCAATCGAACTAAAGGAGTCGAAAGATGGAGAAACTCTTCAAGGTGAGAAAACTGAAGGTAGTTTTGTCACGAACGCATTAATTCCGAACTTTCTGGAATCAGATGACAAAGAGGATAATGAGCAACAGAACCAGCAGAACCAGAACAATAACCTGGAGAACCTTCTGAAATCAGGTGAAAAAGAGGATGATAAGCAAGAGAACCTGCAGAACTTTCTGAAATCAGACGACATGGAGGATAATAAGCAACCGAACCTGCAGAACATTCCGAAATCAGATGACGAGGAGGATAATAAGCAACAGAGCCTGCATAACCCGAACCTGCTGAACTTTCCGAAATCAGATGACAGGGAGGATAATAATCAACAGAGCCTGCATAAACCGAACCTGCAGAACTTTCCAAAATCAGATGACGGGGAGGATAATAAACAACAGAGCCTGCATAACCCGAACCTGCAGAACTTTCCGAAATCAGATGACGGGGAGGATAATAATCAACAGAGCCTGCATAACCCTAACCTGCAGAACTTTCTGAATTCAGGTGAAATAGAGGACGATAATAAGCAACAGAACCTGCAAAACATTCTGGAATCAGGTGACGAAGAGGAGGATGAGCAACAGAACCTGCAGAACCTTTTGAAATCAGGCGAAAACGAGGATAATACGCAACAGAACTTGCAGAACCAGAACCTGCAGAACCTTTTGAATTTGCAACAGAACCAGGCAGTGTTTGGGCAAAACTTTACCACTGAGGACCTTCTTGCGGCGAAAAAGAAGTTTAAGTTTTGGTGTAAAAAGTGCAAAGTTGGTGCTTATGCTGCAGGCGTGATGGTTGCTCATTTGAATGGGAAGAAACACCAAGCAAATCTTCAACAACCTGATCAAACTTGGACAGGGAGGCCATTTTAGCTTTCAAGAAACCTGAGAGAGATGCAGATGTAGATAACTGGACAAAAGAAGAGGAACGGTCGACAACAGGTATTGCCCGTTGATTAGCGGTAGGGCGGTTTAGAATGACTTTCTAAATACTTTTCAAGCTTTTCATAGTCGAAAATGGATTTTCAAAATCGTAGGAGGTGCATGGTTCACAGCCGAAGTCTCGAGAGTCTCGAGAGCCTCGAGAACCTCTAGTAAGTTGGCCGTTTATTTAGTTAATATATTCCCATCTTACTTCGTTAGTACTAAATTATCCTTTACTTGCTCTTTTTATGGAGAAAAAGGCTTGCCTGTAGCAGCCATACAACCAACTAACCCAAAGCTAGTAGCTTTGTACAAGTTAGAGTGGTTGGCTTAGCCATAAACAAGCCTTTGACGATATAAGAAAGAGTAAGGGACTGCATTTGGCTTGAGAAGGGTAAAACAAGATATTGTGAATATATTTCCTTAATTATCGTCTCCATTTTGGTTCGAGAACGGTTTTTCGTAGCATGAATCGAGAATGTCGATGAACATGTTCGAAGCTATAATTTATAGTTCTATATGGTCAAATTGTTCTCGTCCTATTTGTACCGTGAAGGATTGGCTAGCGTATTTTAGTAGGTTATTTTGTTAGTTCTCTTTCATGTTCGTGGGTAATAGTTTCTTGAACTTCAAAATGTACGTACTTAATTGGTCCTTTAAACTTTTCAGATTTATTTTTAGATGGTCTCTAAATACAATGTGTTTAATACATCTTAACTGAGAAAGCTTAATATCCTAATAGACACAACTCAATTTTATAGGCTTATTGAATACATTAATTTGGAACAATTTTGAAAGTATATATACTCATAATTTAACTAAAATAATGTTATAGTCAACATTGTTTTGTTTCTCTAAGCTATGAAACTACCTCAACTTGATTCAACTTTAATTTTATTTTGCTCCTCATTTTTATTATTATTATTTATTTGGTTCTTATGTTTAGTAAAATTGCAACTATAGTTATACCATTACAAAATGTTACTATATTGAATGGTAGGCATGTTTCATTACAGTAGCACGAGTATTTACAATTCATGAATCACTAAATACAAAAAAAGGCCAACAAAGAATTATTTTGATCATTGGAAAACCTTATAAATCGATCATAATATGAATGAATCGAGAGTCTTGACTTCCTGTTCAGCCGAATGAATCTCTTTTCAAATCAAGATTCAACAAACCCATTAAGAGTTCGCCAATTTGCTCCCGGACAGAGTCGTGTGCCAAGTCTCCCAAGCGGAAGATATCCACCATGAAAGGTCTCCTGTAAGCCAGTTCCCTCCAGAACCCGAACCTTCACCTATTTCTTCTGGAACAGTAAACTTAATCACCTCTCCAATTCGGTCTCAGGCTTTGCCCCTTCACAATCAGGAAAGACTCTATAAGAAAGGAAAGATCAGAGACCGGCGTTGAGTCTTGAAAGCAGAAGAAAGAAGTAATGTCCATGCTTTTCTTATTTTCTCCCAACTATGATCCGAATTCTCGACATATCTTCTCAACTATCACTCAACTATAGATGTGTACGACATTGTTCCTAAGGCCTGTTGATGGTTCCATTATTTTTCTTACTTCTTATTGTAAACTATACACAATGGGAGTAAGAGGATATGGATGAAGAGATAAAACAAAATAGAGATAATTATCTAACCATTTACCATGATAATGATGAGAGGTATGGAAGGAAATGTCTATTAATAACATGGACAATAGTGGATTTAAAATATATTTTTTTATTTGGGTCGTAAGATTTCACCCACCCACCTTTTGAGACTTTTGAGAGGGAGAGAGAGAAATGGGCTTTGAGAAGGAAGAGAGAGAGAGGGAGGGAGGGAGAGAAATGACTTTTGAGAGAGAGGGAAGGAGAGAGATGGATTTTGGGAGAGAAAGAGAGAGATGTATTGAGGAGAGAGTGATATGGATTTTGGGAGGGAAAGAGAGAGATGGATTTTGAGTGAGAGAGAGGGATTGAGGAGAGAGAGAGAGAGAGAGGGATTTTGGGAGAGAGAGAGATATGGATTTTGGGAGAGAGAGAGATGGATTTTGGGAGGGAAAGAGAGATGGATTTTGGGAGAGAGAGAGATGGATTTTGGGAGGGAAAGAGAGATGGATTTTGGGAGAGAGAGAGAGAGGGATTGAGGAGAGAGGGGGGGAGAGAGAGAGGGGG